TTCTGTGCTCCAACCCCTTGAATGCCACCTGGGAGAAAAAAGATCAAAGCACAGTTTTTGATTTTGCCAGACTGACTGTCTGATCCCTCTCCTGGGATGAAATTTGTTGTGTAAATAAAATGCACAGATAATATTCACAAGGATTGCTTTAGAATGTGAATTTAAGAAAGGGTCTCAAGGGGCTGGGGATGTGGCTCAAGCGGTAGCGCGCTCGCCTGGTATGCGTGCGACCCGGGTTCGATCCTCAGCACCACATACCAACAAAGATGTTGTGTCTGCCGAGAACTAAAAAATAAATATTAAAAATTCTCTCTCTCTCTCTCTCTCTCTCTCTCTCTCTCTCTCTCTCTCTCTCCTCTCACTCTCTCTTTAAAAAAAAAAAAAGAAAGGGTCTCAAACTAGAAAAGAGATATAAGAAAATTATAGGTATGGAAACATAGTTTAGTATGGAAAATTAGAAAGTAAAGAAATGTTTCTAGATGAGAAAGTATTTTGCATGGTTAAGTAATATTCTTGTGCTAAAGTTCAAGTTGAAAGAGAGGAGAAAAATAAGGATATAAACAAGTTGTTGAATGTCTATGTAAGTGGCAGGTTTATGGAAGGTAAATCTCAAAAAGTTTGTGTATGTTATTACATTGGCTATAATTATCACAGTCAATTAGTTATTCAAAGTTTAATGTACTTATATGAAGCAAGTCTGAAACATTGATCTGCTCTTATGAAGACAATTTTCTCATATCTGTTAGGTTTTATTACTTAGGGAAACTAAGTCTTAGAGGAATTAGGGTTCGTACCTGCTTTCAAATCTTTTAAATGATCAGTTTGTAAATGGTCAAATAAATACCTTTTATTTTAGGTTACAACAATATAGTTGATATTCTAAATATATGTGACTATGTATATATCTAGTTGACACTATAAATATATGTGACTATGTATATATCTGAGGACTACATTTGTCTGAGTCTTGTCTGAGTGTTAAGTAAAAGATTATAAAATGAAGGTTTATCTAGGTTTACTGACAAGGTAATCTCTAAGTGCCCTCTTTTATACATTGTACGTGACATAGAAGGGCCACACTGCCATTGGAAGATCTGTTTGCTTTGACTAAATCTATTTCTGATCATTAACACTGTTTCCTAAATGTACACAGATCTAAGGCTACCCTTTGATATTTTTGCTAGTACTGCTAACCTATGTAGACCTATGACTATTGTTACCATAGGCTATAAATTGTAAATTTCACTTTAAAAGTTAAATTTAGTTAAATGTAAGCTTAGAAAGGCCCTTTACCAAGTTGGTGTTCTCCCAACTAAAATTATCTGTAGCATAGTCCCCTTCAGATTTATATAGAAATAACAAAATTGGTTGGTATTTATTTATGTCATTTAATGTTTTATAAGTTATAGATAAAGTTTTGTGCTACTCTTTATACTGGGATAGGAATTTAAATACTTGTGGAAGTTATTGAGAAGAGAGCCTGATTTGTTCAAAGGTTGACAATGTGAAACATGAAAACATTCTGCCACTTTTTCCACAAAAGGAAAGAGCTCCTTAACCTTTTAATGTTTTGCTGATCAGTTCTATTTTTTTTTTGACTATAGAGTTTTTAAACATTGCAATAGAGATTTTACCTGTAAAAAGTTATAA